ATGACCACAGGAGCTTCCTAAAGGGTCAAAATGATCACAACATATACTAGGGAAAGAGGTGGTCTCTACAGTAGCTGACTCTCAAACCATTCAAAGCCTTTATGGATAACAAACAATTTGAACTGACAAGAATGCACAGTCCACAGTGCTGCTGTGACACTTAGGTTGGGTCTACTAGGTAAGTAGGACTCTATTGACAGCTGAATTATGGCCTAGCAATGGCTCTGGAATAACAGCTGCCTCTATTTATTTAAAAGTTCCAAATCAATTAGTAGTAGATTAAAACATTTGTTCTGAAGATGTTTGTTAATTATAGGCAAAGACAAAATCCAGAACAGATAGTTTTTATACTGGGCACAACATGAAGTTCAGCCCTTGCCAGAGTTGTTACATATAGAAACAAATCAAATTGCAGGCACTAGGTACACTGCTACTTCGATATAACTCCACCTGATATAACACAAATTTGGATATAACGCGGTAAAGCAGTGCTCGGGAGGGAAGAAGGGGGGAGGGGCTGCGCACTCTGGTGGATCAAAGCAAGTTCAATATAACACTGTTTCACCTATAATGCGGTAAGATTCTTTGGCTCCCGAGGACAGCGTTATATCAAGGTAGAGGTGTACCTCAAAGCAAGTGACCTGAAAACAAAGTTGCTGACAAAATATCACTTTTAAATGGACCAGCCAGAGAAAAGTAATATAACTGAGGGTTGTCGCCCCTCCCCCGCAGCCCAGGTGGTGCTGCAGGGACAGTGCGAGCTGAGGGAAATCCTCTCTCCCTGGCCCCACCACAGAGCCCATACCCCCAGCCGGAGCCCTCACTCCCTTGCACTCCAACCCTCTGCCCCAGGCCTGAGCCCCTTCCCACACACCGAACCCCTTGGCCCCACAAATTTTGTTATGCGCACCAATATAGAGGTGGTGTCATATTGGTGCACATAATACTGCACATAGGTGGCTGATCAGCATACAGCCACCACACTTATTAAATCGCTTGTGTGTGTGAACATTTGGCTCCTGGCGTTGGCAGCACTTGTACTGATTTTATTGTCAGTGCTGAGCTTTGTAGGACAGCTCCTGAAATCCAGTAACAGTTGACGCAAGCAATGCACTGACAATGCGTTGACCTAATTACATTGACCATGACTCTATGCTGCTCGGGGAGGTGGTGTTACTAAATCAACATAGAGAGGCACTTACGCCAGCAGATGCCAAAATTTAAGTGAAGCCACTTCCACAGGTAGGGTGCAAGGCACTTTGTCAACCTAACCTTGAAATGTAGGTCTGAGTTTGAAAAAGATGGGGAAAACATAAAAAAAAAAAAAAAAAAAAGTTTAGATCTTAAGTGATATGCTAAAACCACATTTAGGCCTCAAATGTTAGTGTGAACATGCATTCCTATATATTTGTGAAAGATACCCTGCGATAAGGTATATGAAGGAATCCAGGGGTGGGGTGACAGAGAACCTGATTATGGGAAACATAGTTCATTTTGGAGAGTTGGATAAATGAACTCAATGGACTCGTATTACCTACTCTTTTTTTGGAAATTCATGACAATGAAAGTAATGCCCGTCAAACTAATTTAGGCCCAAAATTTAAGTGTGGCTTTTAAAACTGAATTTATAATTGAAAAATGTTCAGTTAACACATTTTAAAAATTTGCTTCTGTAGCAACATGAACCCTGATACCACAATTTGCTAGTATTAGTTCACAGGAACTACCTATTGAATGTAACTAGTCTAAATTTCACTGTCTGAGCATAGTAAAATGCAAAAAGTGAATTAGGCTTTATTGGTAAAAGAGTTTTTGAGGGGAGTTTTATTCTGACAGTGTCCCTCTAAATGTCAAAACCTATGTTTTATGAATCTACAAAAATGTGGTATAGAAATTGTAAATATTTTCTCCCATTGCTTTTAAGTTTTCCCTTTCTATAAAAAGAAAAGACAACTAGTAGACTAGAACAAAAAAATGAATGAGTTTTTCTTTGCACTTAATTTTCTTATTGTGCCACAGTGTCAGAAAAGCTATTTAAAAACAGTTTAATGCATAATTAATCACCATGCCAGCTATCTGCAGATTTACTGCTAGTTTTCAAACATTAAACAATTTATATATTCAAGATAGGACTAATTAGTCTAGCTCTCAAAAATGCAATATGAATTTTAGAACCTAATGTGCTCAAAGTATTTGAGCTCTGAAATTTATTAGGGGAACAGTTCTCTAATTCATTACTTCTCATTTAAAAAGGTAATCATTTTAATTTACTTGCAGAAACACAGGACATTGTGCTCCATCAGCAGATAATGTTCTTCATTAAACAGAGTAGGAACTTTGTGCACTGGGGCAGCTGTGGTATTTCCATCTATGATGAAAACCAACTACAAAATATTGAGTAAAATGTTTTTAACTTTATGACAAAGTAAAGAAAACTGATTTTCCTAATAGTGATTTGGATAATTTGTAATAAGGCACTGATAGGATAAGACTGTGTTGACAATCTTAACTACTCTCATGAAAAGAAATTCAAAGTTAAGGCATATACACCTCTACCCTGATATAATGCGACCCGATATAACACGAATTCGGATATAACACGGTAAAGCAGCGCTCGGGGGGGGGGGGGGGGGAGAGGAGGTGGGGCTGCACGCTCCAGTGGATCAAAGCAAGTTCGATATAATGCGGTTTCACCTATAACGCGATAAGATTTTTTTGGCTCCCAAGGACAGCATTATATCCGGGTAGAGGTGTATAGTGTAGTATCTACTATGGCTCATAGCATATAGCTATACTATATTATATGACACTTCAAATCAATTTTGAGAAGTCTGCCACACTGAATTAATAGTATGTGATCAGTTAAGGATAAAATTCTCTCCTTACTTTGTGGATATGGGAGCATCCAGTTCCCATTGTGGGATTTGCAGATGGGGATGTTCAGCATCTCTGAAGAGCAGGCCCAACTTCCACGGATGTTACTGCGAGATGGTTACCTATACTCACTTTCCCACAAGCGGGAGAAGGGTTAATAAGTGTCTCTTATACTGTCCCTTTAAAACTCACCATCCATGCAACAGTAAGAGACACTTGCAATGTTATGATCAGAGCTTGCATTGAAAATGGCAGTAGCTTTTAGTATCCGATTGCTTTGTTAAATCTCCCTTTAAAATAAGGCCAATTGCAAACACAGAACTTACCGTCCCTTGTGATTCAACAACTGAATTTAAAAAAAAAGGTTCAAAAGTGCAGACAGTTTGTCAAGAAGTTATTTCCAGGATGACTGTGTTACCTTGGCACATGAGCATTAACTGTTGAAACAAACACTATTAGGGCAGAGAAGGAAAAGTGGAACAATCATTTAAGTTAAAATAGATTACAGCTTCACTTCTGTTAGATGGAGTAGTATTAATATTTCTCACCAGGGAATACATAAGTAACTTGGCCTTGATGTTTACACAGAGCAGTCTTTCTGGGAAGACCCTTTCCTAGTCATTGTGCAAAGACTAGTGAAAGAATACCAGAAATATTTTAGTTACACAAGTTTTTACAACAGCTACTCAAAGCAGTAAACTGTAGTTTCCAGACATGCAAAATTTCAAATTATGTAAAGTATTTTTATAACCTCTCTCTATAATATTAAGAACTAGTTGAATGGTAAGTCATTTCCCCTCTTTTAGTCCTATCAAAAAGTATTTAAAACTACACGTATCTGATTGGCAATTCAACTCTAAAACTGTACAAGTAGATTATACTATCTGATAGTTACTCCAGTTTTATACCAGTGTAACAACAATGCAGTCAACTGTTACTCTAGATTTACACCACCATAAGAGCAAAATCTCAGCCAAGAACTTGTATTTGATACGAGCTTTTACCATTTCACCAATATTTCCCAAACAGCGACAGGATTGGAATCTTTAAACCAGACTCTACTCATAGAAAGAAGAATTTCGTAACCACAAGTGTGTAAAACAAAATTAGAATGGTTTCTTTCATGCATGTTTTAAAACTAAGCAAAAAGTGTATAAACTAACACTACCCATCTTCCCTTTCCTACTTATTTTTTCCATGAAATTATGACAATGCTGAGTCTGAGAGTTGACTGTCACCAAAAACAAGTTTATGCTTTTATTGCAAGATTAAGCAGAGTAAAAAACTAATTCAAATGTATCAAAAGAGTAACCAGAAGGGAAGAGTATTGCTGTTTTATTTAAGTGTGGTTTATTCCAATGTGAAAGTTCCAATTTCATTTTAATAGCTGAAATTCTCTAGTTGTTATGGTCATTCAAAACCATAAAGCGGAAAGAGGGTTAGAAAGTCAACTCCAGTACCATCTCAGAATTATTTAGGGGAAAATTTAATCAATATGCATCAAATGACCTTTACAGTAACTGCAATACTGACAACCATGACACTTTAATATACTTTTCAAAATGGTGGGGGTGGTTTCCCTGGAAGTAAATACAAAAAAAAAAAAAAAAAAAAAAAAAAATTTACTTTTGGGCCTTTAAAATTGGAATTTTTAAAAAAAACCCCTCCAAAAAATTTTTAAAAACCCAAAA